AGTATTTGTTTCTTGATACTAAATTGCTAATTTGCTATTTGCATAAATAAATATAACATTAAAATATTTATTTTCGTATGGTTTTCAATGTTTAAAAAAACAATGTATTTTTCAATTCTCTAGGCATTTAAGGTCAATTTGTACCAGTTTTAGTATTTGTATGAGCTAATAATAAGTAATAACAGATAACATATTTGAGATTAATCAAAAAAACATTCTATTGGTTGTAAATATTGATTTAAATAATTGATACATGAATTACAAATTTTACTATTTAACAACAATTCAAAATCAAATAATAATTACTAAAACATAAAAAACTATATGGCCTACGCCTACCACTTAATCTATACCTACGTCATAGTATATTGTGAGTTAAAGGCGGGAAGTGAGCCATTCAGCCTCGAGCAACGTGTGCGGTACGGGCCACAAGCGAGGGCCGCATTTCACCCAAGTGAAATTGCCTTCACGCACGAGCCACGAATACTATTTTTTCTCACGCCTCCATCGATGACGGAAAAGTTTATGCAGGGATCTATGCAATAAACATACGAAAACAATTTCATGAAAGAAACGATTTGGTTTTATTAATTTTAAACCAGAGGCGTGTCCAGCGGGTAGGCCTGATGGGCCCGGGCCTACCCTGATTTTTAACCTTTAAGTGTACCCAAATTATGCATTTTAAAATTATATTTATATAAGCACACGATGTATCGATCATATTTTTTGCTGTAAACAATTTAAATATTTGTCTATAAATAAAATTAACAATAGTAAAATTTATCGGCAATTATCAAGCGCTTCCTGGAAATACCCCACATTTCTACGACCGTCGGTGTTTGGTCGGCGATCACCGCCTTTGTGTTTAATTTATTGTCACGGTTGGCGACCGTGCCCGCGAGTGACAGTCTTCGTTTTGAATTTTTTATATTATAAATAGTTCTTAATAAATAGTAGGTACGTCATGTTACAAATCATACTCATGAGTTAAAAAGTATAATACAATTTTTCTTAAACTTAAAAATGTGTTGACTATACACAAGTTATTTTTGCAGCCGGGCCTGTCCTGAAATTCGATCCTAGACACGCCTCTGTTTTAAACATGCATGGAGGTTATAATATGCATTTGAAATGTAACCAAAAGTTTTGTAAGGATCGTGGTTATAGATTTCAGTGTCTGGCTGTGCAGAGGGATACGCTTGATATGTGCACCCAGAACTTTTAGCGATTTCCATTTTACCACCAGCTTGACGGAAAAAGGTCACTTATCAAAGCTTTCAATCATCAAAAACTGAACTTTCGATGCAGACATGACAAAACAGTTATTTCAGCTATGAGTCCAACTCATCCAATCGAAAACTTAATATTTCCATTTTCCACTTGTTTCAGTATTGATGAATTTTTGTCACCAACTACTGAACTAATTTAGAGATTTTATGGTAGTTTTACCAAAAAAAATTATAAAATTGTAATAAAAATGTCATTGTTGTTATTTCCCCTTAGTTATACCGTAGTTTACCGTCCTAAATTGAATATGTAATTTTATTGATATTGCCAAAACGTACCATTTCTATGCAAAAGTACGCTTAGACATAATTTAAGAACATTTACAGTTAATTTTTGTTGTTTCTGTGTTTCACACTAGTTGTACGTGCTAAAATTACAGAATTATTATAATCTTTAACCAAAAGTATAAGCCTAAAAAAATGCGTGTGTGGCCTATTTTTTAGCGATCTATAAGAGTTGAAAAATAAGCTATATACCTACTCCCTCTAAGTCTCAAGGAATGTATTTATATAACTTTAATTAAAAACTGTGCAGTAGTTTTTGAGTCTATTAGTTACAGACTAATATCCATCTGTTTATAGGTTTTTAATAGTATATGATTGATTTCCAGCTTTTAGTTCATTTCAATGGTGCATGATACTACTGGTGCTCCAATGAGGGATAAGAAAATAATTAAAAATAGTGTGTTATAACTTTTAGCACATCATAATATATGACATAATAATTAATAAGGTATATTATTTTTACTAGTCGAGTTTTAGGTACCTATATAAGTACCTATCGTTAAGATATAAGAAGAACATCAAAGCCGTGATAATTCATTTAAATTCTGTTATAAAATTGTTTGAGAACCGAAAAAGGTTTGTTCATATTTGTATTTTGTGTAAATGTAATTATTGGTATCTAATAGATTGTGAGTATGAGCGATATGTTGGGTATGTAATGTAATTGGGTTTAGGAAAGGCTTTCAGCACACCTGCATGATGAAACGTAGGTAGGTATGACCAGTCTTGATAATTCTGATATTGGAAGCTTTCACGAACTTCTATCTTTATTTTGAAATGTAGAATTTATATTATATCAATAATGGCAAGAAGTAAGTATATGCAGGTTTTGTCCTTGTTACTTTAAGACCCATGGAGATTCTTAAAGTCTTATCCACAACTTGCCAGTTAGAAAGCCTGCACATCGACATCCTCGAGAGTTTTCTTTCTTATCTAGTTCAGGAAACATGTTCAGTAGACAATACATTTTTCTTCAAATGCGTTATTTTTAATAGAATATTTAATTTAATATAATTTGTTTCAAAAATTATTCCGAAACATTTCTCTCATTGCTCCACTCAACGGAATGTATTACATTACATTATGGTAGTGAATAATTAAACAGTAGGCTATACAGAAACTTCTGAAATGTTTTGATTCCCACCATAAAGTCGAAAGTAGAAGCAGTACACTAGTACAGTGTTATTTTGTATTTAAGTATATAGGTACGTATTAAGATTATTGGGGCCTGTGATACGAACAATGCAGTATCTACTTAACATTGGATTTACCTACCATTCCTCATAGTACAATTCTTGAAATTACGTATAAACTATACGTCATATTAAACAATATTCTGAAATTATTTGTACCTCCTTAAATATAAGTTAGAATTATCATAGATCACACTGAATTTATTCAGGATTGGTGTTGCAACTTGCATTTTCTAATGATACAATTAACAAAATATACAATATAATCTTTTCTTTTTTTGATATTTTTCTGTAAGCCGTTACATATTTATTTTTCATATTTTTCTATGTTTCTTATATAGACGGTCTTTTAAAATTTTAAAATATGTTTATAGAATATATATGTTGATTTATTTTCGTTAGTCCATCTTGGTAAAATGGTATTATTATTTATTCAAATCTTAGAAAAGGAAAAAGTGTATTCATAAAATTAAACTGTTTGATACTCTACGAGTATTCAGAACTTGGAAATTCTATGAACATACCTAGGATGATGTGACAGTGGCTGTCTATTTTAAGATCGATGAAAAAGAGAGGTAGGGGGGATTTAGTTTGTTTTTGTTGTTGATACGTTGGTGACAGAATAGCCATGTGAATTTTTCTATTGCTGTTTATAAAATATAAAATGGATAATATTCAATATGGGTGCCATAAAATATTGTATGTGGTCTTGTATGGCAACAAAAAAACGTGTTCTGAGTGCCAGCATCGGCCGGTGTCACTAATTTCTGGATGGGTGATCACCCGTGTTTTATTGAATGATTCTTGCTATACATGCTAAAACCAACCACACCCTAACCCCTCGGTAACCGGATAATGACATCAATTATCGAAGACTAAACTAAAAAAAAAAAAAAAAACCATGTGTGTTACCAGTACGCGCGCGGGAAGTTAAACTTCTTTTGAATGGTACACGTGAGTGAGTGAAAAAGAAAGAAAAAAATATAAATTAATTTAAAAAATGAGAAGAAGTATCCGGAATTATTTATTATTGATAGTTTTATTATTATTTTTATATTTTTATTCGACAGATCGATGGGTAATTGTTTGTAGTATTGTTTTTATCCAGACAATAGATTTGTGAGTGAATACTAATAATAATAATACAAATAAATAATAATTGATCATTAATTATTCATATAACAAATTTGGTTGCTCGTAAAAAATCACAACTCTTAAAAAAATTATGATTGTTGAACTCCTTTTGGGTGTAACTTGCTGGGGTAAGTGCAACTCAGCCACTCTGGTAGGCAATGTTCAATAATTTGATTTGATGCAAGCTTGTACCTGATCTGTCCGAATAACCAATGGCAACCAATAAATAAATGCTAATTTCTAATGTAGACTGTAACCAATGGTAACTATTAATAAATAAAAATAAAATTTCCAATGTCTATCTTGAATCTCAATGTCCCTGTTTGAGCACCTATTTAAAATGCGAATTTCGAAAAATCCTTTCTTAGCGCACGTCTACATCATAATTGCTATCTGTATGCCAAATTTCAGCCAGATCCGTCCAATGGTTTGAGCTGTGCGTTGATAGCAGTCAATCAGCTTACTGTTTTATATATACAGATATATACATATATATATTATAATATATAATAAAACAACATTACCATGACAATATTTATTTATTTACGGACATGTACGCTTTCGCGTTCGTACGGCCGCCCGTTCGTACGCGCCGCCCGTTCGCTTTTTTTCCTCACTACCGTGCGTAAAGAAGTATAACTTCAAAAATAAATAAATAATTATAATTATAATAATTTTGTATGGATGTATGGTGTATGTATATATATATGTATTCATATAGTTGACATTTTATGTTTAATTCATTGATCAGACTTCAAAGAAATTGAATATAATGCCAAAATGAAGAAGAAAGATGAAGAATGTACTAAATAAATTATTTAACATGTTAATTAATATTATAAAGTATACACACCTAATCTGGTTTGATGACTTGGAGACAGTTTTTAGTTTTAGTTATATTTCGAAACAATACAATAATATATTAAACAGTACAGTTATCCATTATTATTTTTTATAAATCTATATAGGTACCTACTTAATCTCAAGGTTAGGTTAGTGTGATAATATTGTAATTGATTCAGTTAGGTATATCTAAAATTAATCAAGATTTAATAGTCTGATCATTATTCAAAAAAAAAAAAAAAAATGAGTATCCAGTTCTTTATTCTTCAGTTTTAAATTCTTCCATTATATCATTCTCAGTCATTTCATCAATGGGATTGTTGCACTGGAAAAAACAAATTTATGTTACCAAATATAATACTTACATCTTATTTGTTAATTGTTATGATAATAATACAGACAAATAATTTATTCTAGTTGGTACTAATCGTCCAAAGATAATTTCATCTATACTAATAAATTAATCATATAAGTACGTAAATACGTATTTCTCACAACTGGCTTTTGAAAAAAATAAAATCATAATAACTCACCACTCTGTCAACGACTTCAGCTAGTTCTCTTTCAATTTCTTTGATCGCTAATTCAACTTTCGCCTTGGAATTATCAACTCTGTCTGGCAATTTGTTCTGCATTTTAGTTTTATGTTCACGGATCTTAGCTTCTATTAATTTTTCTCGCTTGGTTTCCCGCTCAAACATCTATTGATAAATAATAGTAAGCTAAAACTCATTGTCAGCTGGCATATAAAGCGATTTTGAAACTCTAAACTAATATTTAAACTACCTAATCATCGTACATATAAAATATATTAAATATTGGTAATTACCATTTTTTTTATAAAAGAAGCAAAAATATAATAATTAGGCGACATTATAATCAAATTATACAAAAATCAGTAATAAAAAAAATATGACAAAAATTAAAAATATACACATAGAAAAAATAATAATTTTTGACTTGAGTATAGTAAATACCTATATGTTAATATTATTACCACACAATACAGATGCTAGAAAAAAATCAGTAAATATTGTACCTTATAAATTTTCTGCCAAAAAATACCATTATAATTGTAAAATGTAATTTGATAACGTTGGTAACTTGGGTAATTGTATTATATGCCATAATATTATATTATATTTTAAAATAATTACATATTAATACTATTTATATTTATACATATTAACACTATTTAAATTTTGAGTCATGCAAAAAACTTAAACATCGACTGTAGATAAATCCATTTAAAAATAAATGTAAGAGCGCCCTACATCTAGAAAAGCCCTTTTGATTATCGTAGGTCTAGACTTCAAACATTTCCCTTGTTTAATGTGGTTGCATGAACTAAGTGCTCTTTAGTTGTCATTAATGTTTGTTGATAATATTATGTCTACTCAACTCACAGCTGTCAACCGCGCTCTATCGAATGGTCCGGGAGTCACAAACCAATCGTTCATTTCGATCACGCGTGTATTACCACCTTCGTCTCCGATAGCTAACAGTGCTCCGTCTCCATGGCAGCTAATACAATTTAACCTATTGTCAGACACCTAAGTAGAAGATTACGGAAATAATAAATTGCATAATGCATTCGTTTTATCTGTTCATCTAATTTACTATCTTTGGGCACCTTAATAGAAAGTATCGGTTTTAGTTGTTGCTGTAAGACATCCCAACAGTCCATGAACCCATCGGCTCTGGCCGTATAGAATACTGAAGGCTTTGAATTGCTCCATTGGCCATCGGTTAGTCTCATATCGTAATTCCTATAATAGTATAATAATATAATATGACATGTAAAATTAAATCCATAGTGGTTTTTTTATCATATCGTTTTCATATTGCTATTTGTAGTATAGATAGGTACTTCGTCCACATTGTCTGAGATTCCTTTGCCTCTTCTGACCATATTTTTGCCTGCCAATCGCCAATAGTTAAAAATGTTTTTAAAAACGCTGGATTTCGACGCACTGAATACACCGGGCCATAATGACATTTATAAGTGTATGGTATTTTTTCTAACACCGTTTTGCCCTTACGGTTGCCATCAAACACGTGTCCAGTACTCGTGCCAATCTACTTGTAAATAATATAAAACAATGTTCAGTTTATCACTTTTAGAAAAATGTATAAACTGTGCTATAAATATGTGGTATTTGAATAATAATTTCAAACGCTTGTCCATCAACTCAAATGAATAAATAGATGGCTTTCCGTTCAATAAGTTCAGAGTAAACTCTCTATATTAAGTTGTATAAGAAATAATAATTATTTATAACACCACCACAACACTGTCCAATTAAAATAAACTGCTCTATGTTCTCCTAAACACACTTAAATAGTTGATGTAGTATCTAAAATTCTTAACTGCACACTATACAACTCACGACCATTGTGCCCAAAAATTAAATAATTGCTCCATGGGTTTTACGATATTCTTTTACTGTTACTTTCAATTGAGCTCCGAATTTTCAGTCTCTAATTATAATAAACCAATTATAATAATACTATGTGACGTACATATATTATTAATATTATCGTAGGCTACATTTTCCGCAATTAAAAATAGTCTGCATCATTATTATAGTAGTAATTTTTTTGTAGGGTCTGTGGGGAGGATGACTGATACTAACCGATGATAAACAAAGTATTTTAATTTTTTCGTAGTATTCCTCTATCCTACGTGAACACTTATACGTACCATGAAGCGAATTGGAATCGAAAAATGGTAATCTATGCAAGTGACTCCGTGGGACCGGCCCCACTGTAGCCATTCCGGTTCATCTTCGACATCGGTCTTCAATAAATCTAAGAGCAATACGTCCGTGGGTTCTGAGAGGTATCTGGTATCCCACCACATTATCTGTGGAAGGTATCACAATATGATGGCTATTCTAATTATAGATATGTCTGCACGATAGTGTGCCACGGCGTTTACTGTATAATATAAATTAACGATGCATAGTAATTTTTTTAAATTTGTAAACAATATGTTTTATACTGGTAAATATGAATTTGCTATAGTAATGTAACTTGGACCTACTTGGCCATCACTGGATCCTGTCAAAAATTCTGAGTTGGTCTTTGATTGAATCCATTCGAGACTAAGGATAAAGTTACGATGCCCACTTCTTATATTACTAATACCGATGTTTGTGGAACCTGTTCGCATGTCCCACAACGCGACCTGTCCGTTCATCAAGCCTCCCGCTAGCAGTTGCCCGTCCCTGCGGTGGAACTCGACCCTGGTGATCGGGTATTGTGACTCCATTGTAAAATATGGAACGGTAAACAACTCTGTAAATTTAAGTTATACGTACATCATTCAAGGTATGCTCAGGAAGTTTACAGAAAATGAAAATACGTAAATAGATCTATTGATTGAACACATTATTGATCAAAAATACATTGGTCAAATAATATGTAGTTTTGGTTGGGTTCGGAATTCCACACTTAGCGTTCGCATTTTTTTTTGTAGTACCTAACAATAGTTTATAGGTCTACTGTTAAGTTCTTTATATATTCAAGAGCCCTTTCTCAACGATTCTAAGTATTATGTTAAACTAAGAGTTATATTTATCACATTTAAATATATTTAAAATATGTATAATATACAAACGATTTTTGAAAAATCCCATCAATTTTGGAAGATTTAAAATAAAATAATAATTGTTTGTGTTCTTGTATGCTCGACTGAGGGACTTTTTTTGTTACTGTTTGAGTGGCTGAAGTCAGCAACAAGTTCAAACTTCAGCTGTTTTACACAATATTTATGTGTATTGTGTATTTAAAAATGAAATAGGTATCATTACACAGCTATCGAATTACTTGTATCTAGTTTAATTATTTTTTACCAGATGGCCAAAATTATATCCATTATAAAATTATTCAATAAAACAAGAATTATTAGTTATTATAATAATTAATATTGTTGTTTTCATCGTTGCCACTCGTAATCTACTGGGAAGATAATATAATTATTCTAAAAACAGTTGAAACAAGGTAGGCACCTATAAATCATGTGATAGATGTCTTGTATATATATAATTTTTCACAAGTATTTATTTAATACTATTTTAAGTTTGTCCTAAATTGTTTTGTTTTTGCTCTATAAAAAGTACAAATTACCATACCTACAATAGAATTTTAAGTGATAGGTAATAATTTACATGCCCTTCTAACTACCACCCATAATTTGGTTCTGTGAATGAGTAACCTATGTACGAACATCGTTTATAAATAAATAATACGTTATTAGACCATTCCATACTGAACAGTTTAGGAAAATCAATACTTTAAGACCACATACATTATATTGATGGTTAAAAATTAAATATTAATTTATTGTTATTCAATAAATCGTATTTGAAATCAATTTTTGGCCCCTCGTTGTTTTTTATTCTTAAATCAGTAGTTTTTTAAACTATATGGTTATGTCGATCGCCGACGGCCACCGCTAAATCGTACCTAGTTATGAAAGTTGATCCATACAATAGATATAAATAGAGTCCATCATTCTTTTGTTTGATCAATTTAGTTAAACTAAATCTACAAAACAACTTGCAAATATTGATTATTTGTCAATTAAGATAAATCTTAGCAATATAGATATTTGAGAAAATATTATGTTGATTCGCAATAATTTTCACTTGCACAGTCACATTCCGAAAATTTAAAACGTGTTTTAACTAGTTATTTTCTGTTAAGTATGTAGAGTAAGTAGGTATGCTTTGCAGTATGACCCTGCTGGTTATATGGTTAATATTTTCGGTAATCATAAATTAATCTAGAAGAAAAACGTCACGTTTCATATTTTATACCCTTCTTTTAACAGGATAGTATTATACTGGTTCTAGTATTTCTTATTTTTATCATCACAACTCGTGTACCAATATTGCCAATGTGGTAGTGGCGAATATCTTTTTCTTTGTAATAAATTAACGTGGTAGCTATATAATTATACCATGTAAGTGTTAACTGGGCACTTCCTTACCCGTGTCGAATACGTAGGAGTTTGGACTGTTTTCTAGATTGGCCATCTGGAATTTCTTGTCAGCGTAACTCACCGCGATCAGAGAGCTCTGCTCCACTGACCAAGATATGTTTTGAATCGGTCTCTTTGGAACGCAGGGGTCTACGATTACCGCCATTGTCTGATAAGACGGAACTAGTGTTTGAAAATCTTGACATTTCGGTTCAGTAAAGTACGGTTGAAATATATCTATTGCGTTATTTTGTTTTATGAAGTGTTCGGTGAGCTGAAAATAACCATAGCATTTTCGAATAATATTTTACACAAGTATTAATAAAAAAGAAAATATTTTCTCATTTCTATATTTGGTTAAAATAGTAAATCAAATGTGATTACAATATTTATAGTTTATACTATATACGATGTACTTTGACTGTTTTTCTATTTATATTAACAAAGCATATTTGATTTGAGACACAGTTACGACGAATAGGACGAGGGAATTACAATATAAAATTCACGTTATCATTACTATTTCATACAATTATTTTTGTAAATATATTTACATACAATTGACATTTTCTTAACCGATTGTAAATACAATTTGTCCTTTTCCGCTTTCCTCCGAAATCTAGACACTTGTTCCGGATCGTCTAGGTGTATGTCGACCGGCCAGCCGCCTTCCCCATGTAAAATTCCTCGATCAACAAACTTCACTCGTTTCGTATTGGCCTATACACACCGTGTACTAGTCAATGAATAATATAGTACTATGTATTATTTTACTCGGAAAAAATGTATACCTCGTGTTCCGACCACTTGTTGGTTTCGTTGGTGGTCTTGTCAACTGGATTCCTCTGTATCCAATCCTCCTCCAGACTGGGGTCAGGCATCATATTTACCAACACTGTGGGTCCGTTGTTGTGGAATCGACATTGTTTGCCGTAATCGCTCCTTTTTTTTTCGTATGTATACATTTTTAACGGGTTTTAGTAGCGCATGCAATAATTGCTTTTGATAAAACGAAACGAAAAAATTATTTATGATAAATCCGATGGAATACATGTATTTATAACAATAACTCTTTGTATACGTATACGTGCTGATGGTCTCCATAGTCACTATTTATTAATTGTAACTATAGTTACCTACCACTAAAATAATGTTGTACAATTTTGTTATTATGTAGCTTGCTGAACATTATCGTATTATTATTATCTGCATGTAGGGTTGAATATAGGGTCTTTAAATGTGTTTTTCTGTGATGGACACACTGGTGTTTTAAAGTTTATGTTTCACTTACGTTAGTTATATTACATTACATAATATTTTAACCTGCATGTAAATATCAAATATGATGTATTTTAATTTTTATACTGTAACGATTTCAAAAAAAATATTTAGGATTTTGTTACATAAGATTGCACTCTATAATATAATATATTTTATACATTTTAAGAAAGTCATTATTTCCAACGACTTTCCGTTAAAATGCAAACTGTTATGTAAAAATGTTGGCAAGTGGGTACAAACAGTTGTAGGTGTCGAGTAGGTCACTGTAATAGACGTAATAAATTTCAATTCAATGATATCTATATTATTATCTATATTCTGAGCGGAGGTAGTCTGTCTATCAGTATTACTAGGTAAGTATATTTATTGGAATTATAAACAAAACACCCTATATAATGTAGTGTATAAGTAATATATTCACACTGTAGTTCAGCAGACGCTGACTTACATTTTTATAATACTACAGCATAAATGCCTTGTGTAGTGTAGCCGTATTATTACATAGTCAGTCGTTGATATATATTACGCCTCGTAACACTAGTGTACATCGTATCATTATACTTATTATTATATTATATATATATCCGAATTTATTATTATTTACCTTTAACTTCTGTATATCTGTGTACTTCAACAGGTTATGGGCCCAGTAGTAAGGTCTTTATAATAAAGTTGTGAATAGTTATTAAAAATAATAATTGATTAACGAATTGCGTGTTTTTGTGTACAGACAGTGTACATCAATAATAATTCGCGAAGTAAGTGCAGTGTCGCTATAATCGTATCAATACAATCGAAACTATAATCGTCGCTATATTTGTTGATGATGGTCTAGTTGCAGCTACATCGAGTGAGGATGTAAATGCATTAATGGAATATTTGAGACAACATTTCAATATTACCGAAAAAGAATTGAATCAATTTTTAGGTACAGAAATTGTGCAAAAATCTGATGGATCAATTGTAATGCACCAAGGGTTGTATTGTAAAAGAATATTGGAGAAGTTCAATATGACTGAAGCAAATCCAGTTCAAATACCAGCAGAACCTCAACATTCATTAGATGACAAGCAACAAAACACCAATCTAACTATACTCTGTCCAGCGAGAGAACGTGCCGCGCACCGACCAAAACTGGTTCCCCCACACAACACTCTGCCATAGGGGAACCGGTTTCGATAGCAAGGAGACGCGGGGAAATGCGCAGAATCGGCCCGTTCTCTCGCTGGACAGAGTATAGTAAAGTCCCATATCGTGGAGCAGTCGGAAGCTTATTATATCTCAGTCAGATTACAAGACCTTTTTCAGTAAATCTAGTTAGTAGATACATCGAGGATCCAAAGGAACAACACTGGACAGCAGTGAAACGAATTTTAAAATATTTAAAGGGAACTATTAATTTTGGATTGATATTTAGTTCTAGACAAAAACTCATGTTAAAGGGGTACAGTGATGCTGACTATGCAGGTGACTTGGATACAAGAAGGTCAACATCAGGGTCAGTATTTACATTAGGATCTGGAAGTATAGCATGGAGTTCACGTTGTCAACAGTGTTTTAGCCTTAGCACAACTGAATCAGAGTACATAGCTTTAAGTCAAGCACTACAAGAATTAACTTGGTTAAAATAACTGACAAGCCAACTTGACAAAGCCAACTCCACGAACGCGGTTCAATGAGCTAAGGGAGATGTTAGGAGTTATAAGTATTGATGTATAAGGGTATATTGTTTAAGGGAAAGTGTTGGAATTATAAGCAAAACACCCTATATAATGTAGTGTATAAGTAATATATTCACACTGTAGTTCAGCAGACGCTGACTATACATTTTTATAATACTACAGCATAAATGTCTTGTGTAGTGTAGACGGTTATACATATTACATAGTTAGTCGTTGATTTATATTACGCATCGTAACACTATTGTACATCGTATCATTATACTTATTATTATATTATATATATATATCCGATTTTATTATAATTTACCTTTAACTTCTGTATATCTGTGTACTTCAACAATATTGTATCATATTGAGTAAGCCTGGGATATTTAATATTATATTTGTGTTGCCATAAGTAATTTATATTACTATAAGATATAAGTATATTATATGGTAGGAAGGTTAAATTAATTTTAAACATTTCATATATTATAATATTAATATCTTATTATTTTGTTTAAATATGAACACTTTTCAAGTAACTACGGTCATTCGTTTTCGAATTACAACAAAATAAGAAAATTGTTCGTGGTTAATACGTAACTCTAATTAAAAATTAACAAGAAATGAAGGTAATATTAATTTTTTTTTTATTATAAGTAGATAAACTTATGATAATTCCAAATTAGATTTTAAAACCGTATATATATATAAAGAAAAATGTTTACAGATTTCTAACTACATAATAATTTACAAATGTTCACAATTTTGACGAACTTCGTAAAAATTCTCACTTCAACAACTCGTTAAAAACTATTATGGACTTACGATAATTTTTTTTTTTATTACAGTAACAACAATTTATGAGGAACCTTAATATATTATATTGTCAAGCTTTTTGATCACCCAAAATATATCATATTTGATAATATCTACTAATATAAATCTTTGATACAATTTTTATTTTTATTTGACCCCTCATAGTACCAACTAGATCCAATTTTCTACCAGAAACTACCCCTGAAGTTTAAAATTGAAGCATTTTTTTTACTATTTATAGTATATACATTGGTGAGTGTCACTCTGCTGTACAGTAGGTAACAAGTGGGTCACTGTGATTGATGGTGTTAAATTTTAATTTAATGATAATATAATATCACTGTATAAGAAAAACGAATCTGAGTGGAGACGGTTTGTCAGTCTGGATATTGAATATTATTATTGTTTATTATAGACCATAAGTTAAATTGATATTATAATATTATAATTTTTTATTCGTTTCTATAGTAATAAGCAAAGCGTTAGAAACTAAAGTCCCATTTTTAGTGGTTTTTTGTAATTTGTAGGTGGTTTTGCCCTTGACTTTAAATTGTTATTGAGAAAATCGAAAAATGATCTGTTTAAATTAAAACCTTGATCCAATTTGCTAAAAGATAAGGTACTATAAGTTGAAATCCAAGCACTCCTTCTGTTAGAAATTTTGTATACAGGATAAAAAAAGAAATAACACCATTGTAAAACTACTAGCTTCCTCTCTCCGCTCAGAATCTAAAATTATTCTGTTAGTTTCCACAATCAGAACAGACTAATATTAAACATGATACTGTGAAAATGATTTCACTACATGATTACATAATATAGTTAATTGTTATAATAATATAACATAATCAAGGTAGTTAAGTCAACTGTAGTCAGTTCAAAATATTTATTAAAAATAAAAACTATGCCCTAACCCACCCGAGTCCTGTCAATTATTTCATTTGGCCCTTGCAATGGTGGGTATTAACTAGTTAAAAAGTTAAGTTAAGTTAAAATTTAATTTTTTTTTAACTTCTTAACTTAACTAGTTTAATTTACAGTTGAAATAACTTAGCTTTTCTGAGTTGATTTTAAAAAAATCCATCAAGTTAAAAACATTTTGACATTTTTCGTTTATACATAAATATTACTAGGTAGGTATACCAGTATAAAATAAAAATAATCCAATACAAAAACACAAACATTTCTGTTATTTTTCTTGATAACATAATTTTGTGTATATATATATATTTTATTAAGTTGTAAATTATATTTTATGTGAGTTGCAATTATAAACGTTTTTAATAAAATTAATAATTTTAAATTACAAATAGTTATACTCATAATAAATATGAAGGTTATGTACTCATTTCACATTCAATTGCTATACAATATAAAAAAATATATTTGATAAATTAATAATAGCTTAAATTAGTAAATAATAGTATAGTAAAAGTAAAATGGTGTACAGTCTACATTATGATAAAAGTTCAATTAAATTGTTTTTTATAATTTATAAATTAGAAACTAGAAAAAAAAACATTCACTCTTTATGTGATTAACATACTAATTAAAAAAAAAATCGATTAACTTTTTTTAAACTGAGTTAAGTTAATATTTTTTTTTCTATATTAACTTTAACTATCGAGTAAATTTATAATTTGTTAACTGTTTACTTTTAACTTATCGATATTGTGTTCTCTTAACTTAACTTAAGTTAATTATTTTCATTAACTTGCCCAACTTTGGCCATTTGTAATATTTTCGGACTGGGTCATTTTCCTGAAATCCATCATCGTGTTTGTTTACTGTACTAATGTTTATTAGTTGTTAGTTATTGTACATATCTTATGGTTAAAAAAATACAAAATGTTTTTTGTATTTTTTAACGATAGGTATATAATATAGTTATTTATAATACGAAAGTTATTAACACGGAATACAATTCAACAGGTCGGCGTCTGGACTCTCGTCCCGATTGGTTGGCGGGCCATCGCATTCGGGCGGTGGCCGTCACATTATGGGCCATCCGGTCATTGACGGCCTGCTCCTGGCGCAAACCGTTCCGCCGGCCGTTTTGTTGACGGCCTCAGCCTTCGCGACCGCTTCGCGCTTCATCTTCACCACATCGCGTAATCGGGCGTTCACTTCATCTAGCTCGGCCACGGTGACTTCGCCACCGCCGTCGCTGACCCGCCCCAAACTGTCCGCGAACAGCCACAGCTCGGCCGCCGCCTGGTCCGACGCTGTGGCCGCGCGATTGTTGTTGGCCTCGAGGGCGTGCCGCGTCTCGGCCACCGCGTCCCGCGAGACCTGGGCCACGGCGTCGGCGAGACGCGCGCGCCGTTCGACCTTGGCCCGCAACAGCCGCACGAACGACTCGTCCCGGACGACCGCCGACTGAGACCACTTCGCCAATTGGGTAGCGATTTCGGAAGACCGCAGTCGGTAGTACTCTTCGCAGGGCTGCTCATGTGCAGGTATATTTTACTCTGTGCCTGCTGCGTGTCCGGAAGCTGTTACCGGAAGTTCGGAGACGAGTGGCTGCTGCAGGTGATTCAACTATTGTGCGGTTGGAGTATACATCGGGTTATTTATATAACGAAAAATATATGGTGGTGTATTGTAAAATCGCTAGAACGACGGTTGTTTCAACGATTTAAGATATATTTTGTAACGATGTGTGGTCGTTGGGGCAACGCACAGTAATACTTAGATGGTCTAATCAATATAATAATACTATCGATAATGTGAAAACAAAATGAAACAAGTGGATGTCGCTCTGCTGTACAGTAGATTACATGTGGGTCATTGTATAATGGATTGTGTTAAACTTGAATTCAATGATATAATATCATTGTTTAAACGATTCTGAGCGGAGACGGTTTGTCAGTCTAGATATTTTATATTGTTATTGGTTATTATATCATGGAAGTCGAATTAATATAATATTATTATTTTTTATTCGTTTCTATGGTAATAGACAAATCGTTAGAAATTAAAATCCTTTTTTAGCGGTTTTTTGTAATTTTTCGGTGGTTTTTTCCTAGGCATTAAATAACTTGTTAAAATCGAAAAATTACCTCTCTAAAGTACCATCTTGATCCAATTTTCTAAAAGATAAGGTACTATATATTTTGAAATCAAAGAACTCCTTCTGGTAGAAATTTTGTATACAGGATATAAAAATAAAAAAATAAAACCATCCGCTCAGAATCCAATATTCATATTTATATTAGATTAACTTATTTTAATATTATTTTAATCTCCTTCAAAGTAGGTTCAGTTCCTCCCCCGAATTGAAATAACTGTTCATGCTGGACATTTCTGATATATTTTCTGCAGATATTACATAATATATTTTCAACGTATTGTAGCCATGGCACATTTTTTTCACACAAAAGTGTTACTAACATTTTTCGCTAAGGTTATTAGGTAGGCATGCATCTCTTTTGTAAATGAAGTAATAAAAATAATAATAATAATAAACATTGGTTACAACCAATAAATTATTGATGTGACTTGGCACCGCTCGTTGGCTGCTAGCAGTCGCGAAATGCAACTCAGAGTTTGTAATGTCTGCAGCTACTTTTTACCGGATGGGTGACCACCTGGGTTGATAGTAGTAAAAACCTTGCCACATACGCATGTTGCTGACCTACCGTAACAACCGTTACAACACCTTATCTTACCAACACAGCTCATAACCCCTCTACAACAGCTAATGACCATATAGTTCAATAAAAAAAAAAACAGTCAGTCATTCTATGATATTACTAAGTATATTTGATGATATTATTCTGAATAAAGTAATTTATATATAAACTATTTACGTGGAACCTTCTTTTATATTTTGAATACTTCGCTATAAAAGTTGAACATTTTATAAATTTTTAACTACAAAATAATGTATTACATTTAAATTTGATAAATTTTGTCAAAATTCAAACTTAAAATGCTTATAAAAAAAAATGTATGCATATGTTTTTTTAATATTTTTCATCTGCTATTACAAAAATATATCAGGAGCCTTGTACCTATTAAATTTTTACGCTTTTTTAATCAACAGATAATATTTTATTGACAATTGTATTTTTCCTTAATTTTTATGTTGTGTTTCTTGGCGCTTTGAAAACTATTGAGAGTTTTATAATTTGACCTCTCGAATTTACTAACTAGATTCAATTTCCCATCGAACAAGATACTGTTGAAGAATATAGAAGCAGTTTTACTGCCCCGAACCGTGATGACAGAGACAAAAAAAACACACTCATCATTGTAAAATACTAAAATCAGTATTATATTCATCGCTCCTCTCAGAATCGACTATAACAAATATAATTTTCTAAATATAAATTGAATTGTCAAATGTACAATTTATTATTTATTATTTACCATGTACTTTTTTTTATTTTACGTTTCATTTGGTTTTCAAATTATTATACAGATCAAAAATCAATTTGAAAATTTAATTTTTGTACGAATTTCACAAATGTCAATTACAAAAAAAACAACAAAATCTTGTTAGGTACTTATATCATAATCGTCCGGTTTAAACTGTAATAAGACCAATATAAATTATACCAATATACAATTTAACCACTTATTTATATGACAGAAAAATATGGTGCAATTATAGGTGGTGCACAGGTACTCAATGTTTATTTATAATGATTTTACTAAATGCAACCGGGTTATTATTTTTTCATCATTATTATTATACTGAGACATTACTGCCACTAAATTTAACATCTCGTTTGAACCGCATCACTCCAAAGTCGTTTAACCTGGGTGGGCTGATTCGGCACGGGCCACGTGCTCAGAGGCTTTAACTTATTAATGGCCTAGATTTATCTAATGTATCATTTGGGTGAGTTAACCGAATACATTTATACATCATTATGTTGCATATAATAATATATAGACATATCTACCATATCGGGAAGTTATTTCTTAAGCAAGCACTTGTACATTATATTAAGTGTATAAATTTTCATTTACGACATGAGTACTATATTACTTATAAATTATAATATTTGTATAATTGACAGAATGAAATGTATATTATTAAACGTATTACTTAAACTCACTTATTTTCGAATTAAAAGCCATATACCTACTATATTATGGTATGTTTGCTTTTAAAACTTATTTATTTATTTGTCATATCTTTTACGTAAATATGTTACTAATATCTATACGACTATACCTACTTAGCAGGATTTTTCTTATATAAGTAGAACTTACAAAGTACTTACTACATATTATGTGTATTTATATCCATAAATATTACATATTAATATCACCCATTACGAATTTGCTATGTGAAATACCTATATTATAATAAATTGGTGATTGACAAAAAAAAACCTCCTAAGTACCAAATTTATGATTTCGATGTTTTGGTATCTCTGAATTCAGAAAAAAATAAGCTATTTAAGGATAAAATATCCTATGTGCTATCCGCTTTGTAGAACTAATGAAAAATAATTAATAAATGATCTTATAATAATATGTTACCTATAATAACATACTACAATAAATCGTTTATGATATACCTTCGATGTGCATTTTTTTACATTTAAATAGGAAATATTGTATAACATAATATAATTTTTGATTCTAAATGGAGCAATATAAGTGATTTTATAATAACGTGCAATTTTTTTTTTTGGATTTCTTAAGGTAAAATAGACTTTGGTACTTTGGGTGGGGGATGGTTCAAAAGTAAAAACTCCCTGTACTTTGTAGGTATTAAAGATAAACGGCCTGCATTTCTAAGAAATAAGAATATTTTGTTAAAAATATTCCTATATTACCTATAGTGCCTAATTCATTTTTCTATTAATAATAGGCTGAACTATGTTATTATAACTTATAGATGTTACTAGTTATTAGAAGTTGGTTCTAATGTACCATAAAATAGTGTAAACATAAGTTAGTATACTATTTTAATAGATCAAATCAAATATAAATATTTTTAAAATTGGTTTTTTGTTAAATGTATAATAAAGTACTCCCCAGAAAAGTTTTAAGTCCCGACGAATAATGTTTTTAAATTACATCAAAATGTTTATATTAGCATTTTATATACATGGTATAGTTTTTAAATTATATTAGCTCATTTTTATCTATTTAGAGACATTTTCAATTATTATTAATTTTTATCAATAATTATTTTTGATAAACAAATGTGTGCTTTATCAAAAAGCTTAAAAATGTACTAAAGTTTCTCATAAATTGTTATCACTGGATTTATAAAAAATGAAGCATAAATCCAAAATAATTTTTATTCAAAATTCTCAAAGTCACGAAAATTTGCAGATTATTTCGTACTAGGTTAAGAATTCATTATATTTTTAATATTCATAATAAAGGTTTGTACAATGTTGCATATAAGTTTTGCTTACAAGAATTTATAAAACAATTTTATGCGTAACTCCATGAATATTTTTATCAGCCTCTGAAGATTAAATTCTGACATAATTGAATTATTTAATGTAAATTATAGATTTTTTTTAAAATCATTGGTTTTTTTTTTATTGTAGTTCAAAAATTATTTATAGTACAAACTTGATACAATCCACTGTTACTTGAATGATCATTTTATAGACACAATGAAATTTTCCAATTATATTATCACCAAATTTGGCACATTTAATTTTTAAGAATTTTGCAATTTTCAATTTGTATTATAAATATGTGTTAGTGAAGAATGTTATAGCCATTCAAAGAGAAGCATTTTGACTGCTTCTGAGGTGAATATGCTTTTTAAACAATATGTATTTCACAAAGTTTTTACACAGCCAAGCTCGCAAACGTTTTCAAAATTGTGTTTAAAAAAAAAACGTTTTCCAAGCATAACCAATGCAATATAATATTATACGTATTTCCTAATGCGTGTTGTATGTATAACATATATATATATATATATATATTATAATAAAAGAAACTCTATTTGTTCATAGTAAAAGTAAATAATATTTGGAATATTTAGAAGTTCTACTTAGTATGCGCCACATTTAAATGGCATACACTGCAATAATACGTCTTCATGTGTCATTGCAGTAAATGTCTAGATTTCTCATCCAATGCACCTTTGTAGATCATAAATAATAACATGTATTCATAGTACTTACATTTTGGGGCAACAATTGCCACGATCGTCGTAAAATTTTTATTACACCAAAAACCTAACAAATCATAATCCCTACCTACCGCCACCGTATAATAATGACGATGGTAAACAGTATATAGTTTATATTTTAAAAACACATGGTATAATTGCTTGCTGTGGTATGAACTCAAAACGGAATATTACAATATAGATAAGTAAGTATCTAGGTAGTAAAGTAAAAAAAAAAAAAATCGAAAAATGTATATTGAACATAAAACGGAGGATAA